GGTTCGATCCTCAGCACCACATACCAACAAAGATGTTGTGTCCGCCGAGTACTAAAAAATAAATATTAAAAAAAAAATCTCTCTCTCTCACTCTCTCTAAAAGAAAATAATAATAAAAAAAAAGCCAGACAAAGTTGCATCAAGGAAAGAAAACTAAAGACCAATATTCCTGATAGAATAACACAGAAACCAAAGACATAGACTCCAGCAGATTCTCAAATCAAGGCTCCTTTTCCTGTATTGATCTGGTGCCTATGCACACACAGTCCATTGTTTGATTCCCTAAAAGCACCCCCTCAAAGTCACTGTCTCATCTGTTTACATAATTTCAAGGATAAGAAACTTACACCTGAGCCTCTACTATGTGCTTCATAGTAGAGTAAAATTCTAATGTTGAAGTAGAAACTTCTTTCTTGCAATACTTGCTTGCTGGACTTGATTCTCCCTTTAGAATCAGACAATTCTGCTTTTCCATGTATGTTCTTTGAACACTTAAAGATAACTAACTCAGAGGCTAGGGAGATAGCCCAGTGGTCAAGCATATACTTGGTATGCGAAAAGCCCCATAGGTTCAATCCCTAACACCAAAAAATAAAAAGATAACTAATTTACCTTTCAATTACTGCATACATGCCAAAGTTTCCTCTGTCCTCCTTATTTGAATCACTTCCTCTGACCAGGCTCCATATTGTCACTATCCCTTGAGGATGAGTATTAAAATCAGTAGGTGTGGCCGGATACGGTGGCACTCACCTGTAATCCCAGTGGTTTGGGAGGCTGAGGTAGGAGGATTGGGAGTTCCAAGCTAGCCTCAGCAACTTAGACCCTAAACAACTAAGAAAGACCCCTGTCTCTAAATAAAATATTTTAAAAAGGATTGGGGATGCAGTTTAGTGGTTGAGCGTCCCTGGATTCCATCCCCTATACAAAAAAAAAAAAAAAAACAGAAGTCCATAGACACTAAAATCCTATTGAGGCAGCCAAGATTTCCTTAGAATATAGGGCAGCTCCATCATATTCTCCCTGTCCCCACCTCTGGTACTGGGGATTGAACCCAGGGTGTTTCACCACTGAGTTACATCCCCAACACTTTTTATTTTTAGACAGGGTCTTGCTAAATTGATAGGCTGGCTGTGAATTTGCAATCCTCCTGCCTCAGCTGCCCTACTTGCTGGGATTACAGGCATGTGCCACCACACTCAGCTGTACCAACCTTCTAATGGCTTCTTCCCTGTCCTCACCCAATGTATTCTCTACAGGGCCACAGTTCACTTGCTACACCCCAATATTGTTCCACTTCACAATTTCATATGGCTCCAACTTACCTTTTTTAGCCTCAGCTCACTTACTCCTGCAACCCACCCCATGCCTGACAACCCAGAACATGTGTTAACTTTTCACACTTCCCACTCTGAGCCCACAATGACTGAAGGATCCAATGGCTGAGAAATGCAGCTTCTCAAACACCACCTGCCTAGAGAACAGCCCTGTACTACACAGAAAGGTCAAGCTCCTGGCGCCAGTAAGACACACCTGCTCAGTCAGCCAGGCCCACTCTGCTACTCAACAGAGACCTGCTTTCCCAGCCAATGGCCCTCCCATCAAGCTCCTGCTGAGGCCTCCATCTTGGAATGATTTAACCACATTCAAGGCATTTTACATGAGTACTTTCTTTAAAAACAAATAAACAAACAAAAAAACATTTTTTTAGTTGTAGGTGGACATAATATCTTTTTTTAAACATTTATTTTTTTTTTAGTTTTTAGGTGGACATAATATCTCTATTTTACATTTATGTGGTACTGAGGATTGAACCCAGTGCCTCATGCATGGTAGGCAAGCGCTTTACCACTGAGCCACAATCCCAGGCCTGGACATAATATCTTTATTATTTGATTTTTATGTGGTGCTGAGGATTGAACCCAGTGCCTCACGCATACTAGGAAAGCGCTGTACCTCTGAGCCACAACCTTAGCCCCATGGATACTTTCTTATAGAATATTCCTCTATTATCCCCATTGTATAGATGAAGAAGCTGAAGCACAAAGAAAATGAGGAACTCACTGGAAGTTCCACAACTCATACAAGTGGCAGACAGGCCTAAAGAAGGCCACAGCACTTACTACTCTCTGCCTAGCATAGCTGTGATGTCTGGAAGAAGTAAATGTGGCATGGCACATATAATAGAGCTTGGAACATAGTGGTCAAAAACTACTATCTTAGGGCTAGGGTGTGGCTAGAGTGCTTGCCTAGCAAGCATTGACACTCTGGGTTGTATTCCCAGCACCAAAAAGGAAAAAAAAAAAAAAAAAAAAGCTTTCTATTTACTGAAATTTCTATTCATCTTTCAAGACTTGCTCAAACTCTTATCTTCTCTGGGAAGTTATTTCCCAAACAAGATCCACCTAGGTCCTCACAACACTGAATGCAGCTCATCTTACGTGCAGTTCTTTGCATTACAGAAGCTCATGTGTCTGTCTCACTGATAGTGAATTTCCTAAAAACAGTTATATTCTCCTTCCCAGGGTTGGGGTCCTTAAAAGGAAGGCAAGAAGAAATGACTGATCTTCAGAGAGGAAACTTACCCAAGGTCAAGTGGTAAAGCTGGAGTAGAACCCAGGCTTCCTGACTCTCAGGCCATGCTGTCACTCCACCCAGGGTACCAGATGCTGTGCTCACACAGCTGCCTCTACCAAGCAGGGCAAGAAGCACATTATGGGAGACTAAAGGGAGAGGGATGAGTTTGGCCAGGACCCCTGACCTCAGGCTTTCTTGAGCCCAGGCAGTCTGCTTCTACCACTCTATCCCTGTTCCCAGACGACTCCAGCAGCTCCCTAACACTGTCTGTTCCTCAGGGATTTGGCTGGGAGTGTGTGTGTGACACTGTGCAGGCAAGATTACATCTATTTGACTCTGTGTACACCTCTATGTGTACATAGCAGTACAGGCGATTGAACGTGATCCACATGAGGAATGTGACTGTGGAGGGATGTCAAGAGTATGTATTTGTACCTCCACCTTCTTGGTACACTGGAAAATCCCAGGGCTACAGCCTGAGGTGGAGCAAAAATACTCCCCACTCATTCCCAAATCCCTTGGCCACAGGTCCCTTTCCCTAACCAGTGGTAAGCTAACAATATGGCAGAGTAGCAGCTGTCCCTTCTAGTCCCTGCCCAGCCAGAACCCTCCTGCTGCTCCAGGGCAAATAGACCCTCCCCACCCCCATCCCAATTAGACAAGCGAGAACAAGCTGCCGACCAGACTTTTAACTTCAAATTGGCAAATGCCCAACCTTGCACCAAGTGGCTTCACCCAGCGAATTCACAACTGGTTGCCCCAGTTGACTTTCCCAGTTGACATTTGGAGTTGAGGAATGACAGAAAACGAGGATTGTCTTTGGATAGATGGGCAACTTGATTTTGAGCAGATTATAGCCCGAAAGGGTTAATTCTCACGCGCCCTTGGGAGGGGGAGGGGGATTATAAAAAAAAAAAAAAAAGCCACTGATCAAGGAAGGTCCGTTGACCCCGAGCCAGAGCTCCCCATCTCCCCTGGATGAGTGGCTCCGCCCCGTGCCCCACCCCGGCTGGACCACTACCCCCCGCCTGGTGAAGGGGCTGCGGGTGGGGAAAGGGAATACGTCCAACACCCCCTCCCCAAAGGGGAGGCGACACAAGCCTGGACTGTCCTACCTCGCGGCCTGGGCGGCGCCTTCCCCGCCGCGCCGGAGCTCCGGGCTGGCCATGGCTGCGCGACCCCAGGCTCAGCGGGCGCGTTATTAATAGCCGGCCCCGCCGGCCGCTGCTCAGGCGCCAGCGCCCGCCGCACTGCCAGCTGCAGCCGACACCGGATCCCGGCCGCCCCGGGCCGGGCGCGCCCACTTGGCCCAGGCTCCAGCCTGCGGGAGGAGGGAGCGGGCCGCGGCCCTGGGGGCGGGGAGAGGCCGCCCCTTCCCGGAGTGGCCGGTTGGGGTGGGATGGCGTGGGATAGGGATGAGGGGCGGCTAGTGGCCTTTCCAAAACCAGCCAGCCCCGAAATCTTCCTGAACCTTCCTTCTCTCCATCTTCCCTTCCTGGGGTCCGGGTTATAGGGGGAGTCAAGGGGAGGGCTCTACCATCCCAGGAGAGAACTTCTGCTGCCCCGCGGGGGGGGGGAGCAAGGTTTGGGGAAGGGGTGCTCAGAGGGACCCAGCACCCCCATCAGGTTTGTGTCTAGGAGTGTTGACGCCCTCAGAAACCAACCAGCGCAGAGGATTGGAGCGCAACCTCCTGCGAGTGCCCCGCAGCTGTCGTGAAGGGGTGGGGTAGGGTGCGGGCTGGGGGAGGAGGGTTAACGGCCACACCCCTTGCCTCTGGGGACAGCCCGGGGCTTAGGAGCCCTTGGCTGGGGTTAGAGAAGGACTGTGGGAGGACTGTCAAGGGGTTTAAGGCTATGGTTGAGCCTGTGTTTAACATCGCTTTCCGTCCTGGGGTATCCCAGTGTTCTCTGTCACCCCCACTCAGTTGGCTTCGGTTAACCTCGAGGGATATCATCTCCCCCCAAGTTCTTGTCCCATTAGTGTCAGAGTCAAACTTCAACACTGAACTCTTCCCCACCCCACCCCTCCCCAAGGAAAAAGCTGCTGCAGGGAACTGGTGACATAGCTCAGTTAGTAGAGTGCTTGCCTCCCGTGTACAAGACCCTGGGTTCAATCCCCAGCACCACACACACACACACACACACACACACACACACACACAAAGCTGCTGCGGGCCTTCCAGACCTGGGTCTCAATTACCAGAAGAACAATTACCAGGGCTTGGGGGAGGAAGGGGTTGCAAAATCATTCCATTGTATTGAATGAGTGTGGGCTTGGGCATTGTGATGAAGGTACCCACAGTGGTGGGGCCTGGATTTGTGTGTGGAATGCAAGATTGTGGGGGTTGTGTGCCCATATATGTGGATGTGTGACTATGATCACAGGATCAATGTGTGGCGATTATGTCTGTCCTCATGTGTTCTTTGTGGGCTGTGGGGGATGGGGAGCTGGCTGCAGTGACTGGGGTGTGCATATGGTCCTGTATGAGACTGTGATTGTGTCCCTGACTGGGGCTGATCTGTGTGATCTGTGTGATCGCAGTGGCGGCAGGGGGGTTGTACACAGAAGCAGATGTGTGGAGCGTCCTCTGTGACTGGGTATGTATGTGTTCATTCATCTGCTATCTGTATATTTATAGTTCTCTGTCTATGGTGAGGGGGTGGAAGATTAACACCCAGGGCAGTCCAATATACCCTTTTAAGGTATGCATGAGAAAAAGTCAGGTTTTGGAGGAGGCTGGCCATTTTCTGACTTACCCCTGAAATATTCCAGGGGAGGAGGTTGGCAACGCCTTAGTGGCTGGTTGTTTGACAGCTGCTGCCAGTCAGAGGGGAGCAAAGGAAGCAAGCTCAAGGCCTGCCAGCCGGGGTGCTGTTTGCTGTGGATGCTAGGCAACAGGTGGCAAGGGCAGCATTCAGAAGGGCTGCTGTCCCTTTCCCTTCAGCCCCTTGCCCAGGAGCTGGCCCTGGGCAGTCCCCCAAGACTGAATTCCTTAACTTCCCCCAACCTTCCCCTAAGCTTTTTTTTTGGGGGGGGGTGGGAGTACTGGGGATTGAATTCAGGGACACTCAACCACTGAGCCACATCCCCAGCCCTATTTTGTATTTTATTTAGAGACAGGGTCTCACTGAGTTGCTTAGCACCTCACTTTTGCTGAAGCTGACTTTGAACTCATGATCCTCCTGCCTCAGCATCCCAAGCACTTGGGATTACAGGAGTGTACCTAAGCCTTTTTTAGACTAAAACACTGAATCCCCCTAGGGTTCCAGAAATCCCTTTCCCTCTGAGCGTTCCCTCTGCCTAGAATACCCTTTCCAGATCTTCACATCCCAGCTTCCACCCAGCTCATATGTCATCTCATCAAAAGCATGCAGCCTGTGATGTGTACCCATTGACTGTTTATCCCATCACCCTGTTTATTTTCTGTGCAGCCCTTCTCACAACCTGCAACAATATGGTTTATTTTCCATTCCTTCCTGACCTGCTTCCCCCACTAGAATGGAAACCCCAGGAGGACAAGGACTTTGTGTGTATTGTTTATTACTGTGGCTCCAGGGACTAGCACAAGGTCTAGCACGCAGTAGAAAAGTATGTTGTAAATGAAGGAAGGAAAGAAGAATGTTCTTATTCAGGCAACATTTGGATGCCTGTTGTATGCTAGGCATGAGCACCCAATACCAAGAAAGCCCTTGTCTACTCCAGAAGACAAACACATAAATATGCCCAGATTGTGTCCACCTAGGTAGGGTGAGGTATGTGAGATCATAGGTCAGATCAGTTGGCACACATTAGCTCTTGGTCTATTGAGCCTGTGTCAGCAAATGGCCTTATTTAGTCCAAGTCTGCAAGAAGCTCACTGTGTACAAGAGGCTAGAACCGTCTCCTGGGGAGACAAGCCTGTGCAGAGGGTGATGCCAGATCACTAGGCTGAATGATGTGTTGACAGGCACTGAAAACCAGGGAGGCCAGGGGTGGGAGAAATTAACTCCAGGACTATGACTGCCCTTGGACAGGGTAACCTGGGCCTGGAAGGAAGGGAAAGGGTGTTTCAGAGTCAGGCACAGATTGTGCTTTCAAAAACAAGTCATCCCCTGCACAAAGTCAAATCAGGGAAGAGGACAGCCAGGACTGGCTATTCCCTGCCTCCCCTCCATTCTTCATGCTTCTCTGCTGCCCTGTGGTGTCCTGGGGCTGACTCCAACTGACAGTTTCATGGCCCCTTGTCTTCTGGCTTCCGGTGGGGTTTGGCTAATAGGAGACACTGGCAGGAGACCAGAGGGAGGGGAAGACTATGATCAGGATATTTATTATGCCTCCCTCCCTGTCTCCCTCTGTGATGTTGGCAATTACTATACTCCTCTACCAGAAGCCACAACTTCTATTAGGTGACCTGTACCTATGAGTGTAGCTCTCACCAAGTTCACTAACAAGCCTCCCACTCCTTGTTCCTTCAGACCCAATATGGTGGTGATTCCAGCACACTGTTCATCACCCAAGGTGGCCATTCCTGTAAGCTTCTCTCTAAATAGGTACTTCATGAACCCTCCTCCTTGATGTGTCCATTTCCTACAGAAACCCCAAAACCTAGCCAGGTGTGGTGGTACACACCTGAAATCCCAGTGGCTCAGGAGGCTGAGAAAGGAGGATTGCGAGTCCAAAGCCAGCCTCAGCCATGGCGGGGCACTAAGCAACACAGTGAGACCCTGTCTCTAAATAAAATGCAAAATAGGGCTGGGGATGTGGCTCAGTGGTCGAGTACTCCTGAGTTCAATTGAGTGCCCCTGAGTTCAAAAAAAAGAAACCCCAACACCTGAACCCAGGCCAGGTGTGGTGGTGACCACCTATAATCCCAGCTCTTTGGTAGTCTGAAGGACCGCAAATTCTCAAGGCCAGCCTCAGCAACTTAATAAGACCCTGTCTCAAACTACAATAATATAAATAAATAAATAAAAGGACTGGTATGTAGCTTGGTGCTAGAAGAAAGAGAAGAAAAAGAAAGAAAAAAAAATGTTAGAGCCGAGTGTGGTGGTGCACGTCTGTAATCTCAGCACTCTGGAGATTGAGGTAGGAGGATTGCAAGTTCAAAGCCAGCCTGAGCAACTTAGCAAGGCTCTAAGCACCTCAGCGAGACCCTGTCTCTAAATAAAATACAAAAAAAAAGGGTGGGGATGTGGCTCAGTGGTTAAGCACCCCTGGGTTCAATCCCTGGTATCCCCCAAAAAAGAAAAAAAATTGTGAACACATCCCATTCTGGTGAAGAATGATCTTCTAACCAGCACACAGGGCAGGGTCCCCACATGAAGGTTCATCTTACCCTATCTTAGTCATATGCCTGTGGTTACCTAGGCTGGGAAAAAGGGCCTCAGTCAGTAGATCTGAGGGAGGGGAGAATAGCGGGATGACTAATGGAGAGATGACTTGGCCTGGGAAGTGGGGAGCACCAGGGGGCAGGGGAGGTGGAGCCTGCACAGCAGTCTTTAATCCACCCAAAGCCTGTCCTTTATGACCCCAGAAGCCAAGTTCCCTGAGCCTCAGTTCCCTGTCAGTGGAATGGACAATCAGTACCTCTTCAGGGGACTGTTGTGAAGTAGTCAAATTGAGGCTCAGCTCAAGAACTAATGGACAGAATCATGGCCATTCTACTCTGTTGCTTGTGCTAAGAGTCCCTGCAAACCATCCAGAGGGGGAGGAGGGTGGTACAGAGATGACTTGCAGGGCCCTCAAACCCACCACTTCTAGACCCAGGGTACCAATCCAAACTTTGCAGACAACAGGTCAGAACCTGAAACCTATTTGCACTTACTATGTGACTTCGGGAAGGTCACATCACCCCACAGATGCTACTTGCTTTCCTTTCTTTTGCTCTCTGCCCACCGTTTGCTTGCTTCCTTCCTTTCCCTCTCTCTTTCCCTTTCTTTCTACCCTTTTTTTGCGGGGTACTGGGGATTGAACTCACGGATACACAACCACTGAGCCACATCCCCAGCCCTATTTTGTATTTTATTTAGAGACAGGGTCTCACTGAGTTGCTTAGCACCTTGCTGTTGCTGGGGCTGGATTTGAACTCTCGATCCTCCTGCCTCAACATCCTGAGCATTTAGGATTACAGCTCCCTTTTTTTTTT